TGATCAACTGTGCTGTCTCCGTGTCATTCCTTCTTCGCCGACTCCGTCCACACCTTTGGGGACCCCTGGACCTGCTGGGGCTGGACCCCGGAAGATAGTCACAGAACAGTTCTGTCCAAAAAGAAAAAAAATTCTTTCTCGCAAGTCAGTCTCTAAATCTCTTCTCTCCATGTGTAGATCAAGGCAAACAATAGGCTTAAAAGATGGGTAATTAGTTTTCCCCTTTTTGAAGGTCTGTCAGGGTATTTTATCTCATAATAACTCATTTGGTATCTCACTTCTACTGTATGCTTACTGTCTTTGCCAGAACTTCTCATGAACATTTTGTAGTGTATCTGCTGTCTCTGCTCAAGGCAGACAGGTTATTCTCTGTTACAGTTTTAGCTGAGGACCACCCACCAGGCCTCCTTAGCTGTCGTATGAGGTAAAGAGTTCGACCCGAGGCTCTACCGATGCTTCCGTAGGGGACCTTCTGTCTGAGTCCATTCAGGCTTCTTTAACAACATATCCTCAACTGGGTGGCTTAACAACAATGGAAATGTATGTCTCACAGCTAGGGAGGCTGAGAAGTCCAAGATCAAGGCACCAGCAGTCTTGGTGTCTCCTGAGGGATTGCAGTTCTGTATCAACCAACATGGGATTAACTTCCAGTGAGAAACAGAAGCTGCACAACAATAGATACACTGTTTGCTTAAATAAGTTTACCAAATAACACCATGTATTTGGAAATATCCATATACCTGAATGCACAGAAAAGGCCTGTTTAGATGATAAATCAAATAGTTCACAGTGGTTACTTCTGGGTGAACCAGGAGGGATATTTACTATGTCAGTCATTTTTAAAAATATATTTTTACCTCAAGAATGAACTTATGTATTCTTCGTTGCATTCAAAATAAATACAATTTATTTTATTAAAAATTTTTATTGCTAGCTAAACTGATTTAGATTTTTCACTAGCAATATCATCATCCAACCCCTCAAAATTCAAGATGTCTAAGGTCCACCATGTTTAATGCCAATTAGAGACTAGAATCAAGGTTAGCCTCATCTTATCACCTCAGCTCACTTTCACTTCAGTGGTGTAGGCATGCAAAAATCTCTTTCCTAATTGAATCGGTAAAGCAAAATCATCATTGCAGCTTTGCGGTGAAGTGTGTTGAATAAAAGTCTTAAACAACATAGCACAATGCTGAGCTATATGCAAAGATTCCAAGTTTGGTCACTAACTTTTAGTGGACACAATGTTCTCTCTCTCTCTCTCTCTCTCTCCCTCTCTCTTCCTCTCTGAAATTAATGAAGATATATTTTGTGTGTGTTGTGATCTCTCTTTCCTTCTTTCTTCTTTTTTCTGTTTTCTTATCTGGTAAGTACCTATGAATGTCCTATTAACCACAGAGAGTTATTTTGGAATTTAAAGTTGTTTTCCTTTAAAAAACATAAAAGAAACATACTAGTAGATATTTATTTGCAATTCCTCTTTCTAGAGTTCATTCTTCTCCACTGTTAGGTAAAATATATATGAAAAAAACTAGAATGTTTGCCAGGATAGTTTATACCAGAGATCTCTTGATTCTCTGAATGCATACAAGTTACTCTCCACATGATTCATACATTTTCATGCCATATTTCGGAGCATGCCTGTGCAAAAGGTAGATGTTCGTTAAATATTTCTTAATTCATGACTTTCAAATTACACAACTAGGAAAAATTCATCATACGGAAGTTAACATCATAATGGATGACCTTCATGGATCTCATAAGTCTATTACATGCTTTAACTTAGGTAAATTAATAAATGTCAGTGTCTTGGATTTCTTCCATATATTCCCCAAAGCAAGCATTAAAAGATTAGATCAATATAAGATGAGAGATTAAAGTAACACCAATTATATCACAAGACAAAACAGAAAAAAAGCAGCAACCCTGTACAGTATGTGAACTTTCAGAATTATTTACAGGAATTTCCATGATCAAATTGAAATTGGTATGCTGTCTGAAAATGTCCCCAAATTCCTTAAATTTCATAGCCTACAAAAACTTTAGGATTCCCTACTGGCTCCCCAAGGTCTCCTTCTGGACAGCAGAAATCATATGCTTTGCAATCTAGTTACCCCTGGTACCCTTAGAACTAAAAAAAAATAATTAAAACAATAATAAGTTGAACACAAGGCTCAAATACAGATGATGCTGAGCATTTAATAACACATAGATTTTAAGAACGACATTTGAGAGGGTGATATTTTGGCAGAGAGAAGTCATTAAAAAAAGCTCATGTTATCTCCTTCTGAGTCCATTTCTCCACCCAATATCTGGGGGTTGGGTGGGGGGAGTGGGAAGAGGGGGACAAAAAAAAGAAATAATTTAACCAAGAGTTGAAAACTGGCCTCTAACTCTCAGATGGGGGGGGGGGATTTATGCTGCCTTAGAAAAGGAAGGAGAGCTATAGGAAACATTAAGAAAAAAAGTGCAGGTGGCTTAGTGAAGGATAAAGAACATTACTAAAATTATCAACTGCGTGAGAAAAGTGGTTGCTTCTGTCTATCACTATATTCCTAGGGCCTAGCATATTGTGGGCATTCAATAAATGTTAGTTGAATGAATAAATGAGCGAGCGAAGGAATGAATGAAAATGTCAGGTGAAATATACATAGAATTTTCTTCTGAGATGGCATGCCCTTTTAAAGATCGTGGAGAAAGTGGTCTAAATCTCAATGATTCTAACCATAAATTCCACCCTATAGTTACAATTGGAAATAAAATATGAGTTTAGGTGAGAAGTATATAAGACAAGACTCAGAAAGCACAAGAAAGTTAAAGATGAGGGGGTCATGTCACCTGAAACTTACTTATGCCTTAGATTGTGGAGATGAGTTGAAAATTTCATTATAACCAAAGAGGGTGTGTGCACCTCAGGACACACCAAGAGGTACCACAGCTTTTCATGGCACCTTTGCAGTCATCATCTTTTTTGTACCAGGATCCCCAGGATAATATATGCGAAGACTAGATTCTTGTTTAGAGTGCTATTTCCCAGTACAGGGTCTAAACTTGGTTTGACTTGAGTCTTGACTGTCACTCCCTTGGGTTGTCTCAAAAGATTGTGTATATCCCGGACACATACGCAGCTGCTCTTCATTTGTAAAGGAAAAAAGAAACTGTGAGAGCTTATCTTCTCTGCATTCCTATAAGGAACTTAACAAAAGCTGTGTCCATAGTCTCCTTAATTATGTTCTTCTGTTAGCTCATTTCTCTCTTAAAACTACTATAAAGCACGATGCAAGTAAATATTACCAGTAATTAATGAATGACAGGAAGCATTATAAACCTTCATAATGATTCTTTGGCGTTTTGATACTATAAAAATAAAATTTAACATGAAAATAGTGATCCCTTTTGGTCACTATACCATAAAATAGGAAACACTTAACACAAGAGAAAAGAGTAAAAAAATCATACGTAGAAAATTTAAAAATTACATAAAATTTACTTGATGGTATAGATAACTTTCTAAAGGAAAAGGGAAGCATTATAAAACCACCAAGTTTTAAGTTCAACTTAAAACTCACTTTCCATTATCCCTATAAAGTTTATTTTCCTTTGATAAGGGGTGTAACATAATTAGAGAATTTAAAATTTGGGAGCAGCTCACAATCCTATATATGAAAGTTATACTGACTACAACATTTTCTTTTATTAGTCTCCTTAATTCTGGTAATTCACCTTATTGAATATATGCTAATAGCATATAAGTTATGAATGATATAAATATTCTTTCATGTTATTGACTTGTCATTATCCATAAGGAATATTAGTTTCTGCATGTATGATATGGCAGAATTGATTTTTCTTCACCACCATCCAATGCTACACTTATGAGTTTAAGGAAATAGAATATGGTTTTAGAAACTTTTAATTTTGTAATAATTTTAGATTTCAAAATAGTTTCAAAGGCAGTAGCAAGTGTGCCTGCTTACCTTTACCCAGCTTCCCTTGATGATTACATCTTACATAACCATAATACAATGATCAAGGCTAAGAAATTAACAGCGGCATAATACTCTGAACCCAACTACAGACTTTCATTCAGATTTGCATAGTTTTTGCACTAATGTTTATTATCTGCTCTGGGATCCAATGTGAGATGACACATTGCATTTAGCTGTCACCTCTTAGTCTCCTCTTATCTGTGAGAGTTCCTCAGTCCTCCTTATCTTTCAAGATGTGACTGATTTAGATGAGTACTGGGTCAGATATTTTCTTATGATTAGGCTGGAGTTGTGAGTTTTTGGAAAGAATACCACAAAGGTGAAATATTCTTCTGCTTGTACCATAGCTAGTTAGCACTATGTCTTTGTACTGATGCTCTTAACTTGATCGCTTGGTTAAGGTGGAGTCTGCCAGGTTTCTCCTCTGCAAAGTTGCTACCTTTTGTTTTCCAGCCTTGAATGGAGTCTTTTTAATGTAGTGGTTCTCAACCTGTGGGTCGCGACCCCTTTGGGGGTCAAATGACCCTTTCACAGGGGTCGCCTAAATACATCCTGCATATCAGATATTTACATTGCGGTTCCTAACAGTAGCAAAATTACAGTTATGAAGTAGCAACAAAAATAATTTTATGGTTGGGGGTCACCACAACATGAGGAACTGTATTAAAGGGTCGTGGCATTAGGAAGGTTGAGAACCACTGTTTTAATGTGTCTCAATCCTGGGACAAAGACAGTAGTGGAAGTATGACATACTTACTCTGAGATTCTCCATCTGAAGACAACAGGCAGTGAATGTTGTGGGTGCCCTTCCCTGCTCCCCTCCACTGCCCAGTGCCCTACTGTTCACTTGTGAATATTGGCTGCAAATATTCACAGCTGCCTTCTTCTTCAGACAATTACCCTCAGCAGCGACTCTCTGACGTGAGGGTGCAAAAGGCTGATCTCCTGGCCTCATAGAACTCACTTCGTGGAGCACTTGGTGCTCAAGCGCTTTCAATGGGGGTCAGACTAAGCTAGTCCCCATGGAAAATCCCATTCTTGCTTAGCTATATCTCCTGCCCTACCCTGCTTCCTACACGCACCTCACCCCTGGGAAAATGCTTCAATAAATATTTTGAAAACATTTCCATTTCAGACTTGGCATCTAAAAAATCTGACCCCAGACAATACCTCACTTTGAGTTCTTTTTCTCTTCACAGCCCCTCCCCACCTCCACAGGTAGGATCCTAGGCCCTTTCCTCCCCTCACCCAACAGCAGAAACGAAAAAGACAGGATCCCGACCAGCATGACTCTGGTTTAGTCTCGTTCCATGTTACCAATCAGATCCCTGATTACCCGTCAGGGCACATGCCAGGGTTGTGAGCTCACTCCCCAGCAGGAGATGTGCAGAAGGCAGCACATCTGTGTTTCTCTCCCTCTCCCTTCCTCTCTCTTTAAACAGTTGAGTTGCATTTTGTTAAAAATAAATAAATAAATAAATAAATGGACAGTAATGCCCACTCACAGAGGCCAGACACAGGAGGAAACAAGTGGGGGCCAGTGAAGGAGTTAAAAATACTGAGGGCTATGGATGGGCCTGATAAAAAGGGTGGGGAAGCTTTCTGTACTCTCACCTGTGCTCTCAGCCTCAGGGATGAAAACCTTAAGTCATGGATGGATCTCTGGGACAAAATATTCACTCCCCGGTCCCTATCTATAATAATAAAAGCATAATATGCTAATTAGACCAGACAGCTGAACAACCCTCTGGATGTCATTCCAGACCTGAATTGTGAGAGGGTGCAGTCTGGACTGAGGGACCTCCTCCTCATGTGCACAAATTTCATGCACTGGGCCCTCTGGATGTCATTCCAGACGTCTTTCTGGATAACCTTCTGAACAAAGCTGCAGTGATGGGTGGGGACTGAGGCAGAGGCAGTTAGGGGTGATCAGGCAGGCAGACAAGTGGTTAAGGGAGATCAGGCAGGCAGGCAGGCGAGCAGTTAGAAGCCAGTGATCCCGGATTGCAACAGGAATGTCCGACTGCCTAAAATGGTAATCGGACATCCCCCAAGGGATCTGGATTGTGAGAGGGTGCAGGTCTGACTGAGGGACCCCCCCCTCCTCATGTGCACAAATTTCATGCACTGGGCCTCTAGTTATGTTATAAAATCAGTTTTGGCTGGATTGTATCCTTGAACTTGAAGTAAAAGATGAATAAAATATATTATCTGGGCTTCATATATAAGACTTCCTAGCTGACAGACCTCTCTGGAGAATGCAACCATTGGCTGAGAAATAACTAGTAAAATGATCAAATACAAACAACCTAACACTAAGAACAAATTTAGAAGACAGCAATATCACCAAACCAGAATAGAAAAGAGTTTCTGTAAGAAGAGAATAAATAATAGTG